GGGGGGGGAGCCAGACGGCCATCGAAAAGCCAAAGCCGCACATGAATCTACTTTCCGCTGTTGCTGAGTCGGCCCTGAGTGCTGGGTCAGGCACTAAGAGTTTGTTTCTGATGAGTCCATGAGAGGTTCTTCTCCTCCGAACTTCGCTCACCTCCCCCGCCTGCTCAGCATCGGGCAAGGAAGCTCCGTGGGGCTAGCTTTGGAGGGATTGCTAGGTGTCCAGTTTTCACCTGGACAGTCCAGTAATTGCATCTTCTGTCCATTAAAAAAAACCCAGAAAATACCGGATATGTAAAATGTTCCGTATTTTCTGTTTTTTCTTGGACAGAAGACCACTTGGGACATTCTTCCCGGCTGCATCTGGTGGGGGCAGCGGTGGGGGGAGCGTGGGGATTTAAAGGTGCAGTGACTCTTTTTTTTTGCTCAACAATTTTTTTTTTTTTTTTTTTTTTTCCCCTCAACCAATTTTTCCCTGCCAGGTTCAGAAAAAAAATTATTGTTTGGTATTCCTCGGTCTTAAATAGTTTAAGAAACACTGGTCTAGCAAGTTCATAAGGCAGGCGGCGTGGGGACGTGGACGTTGGAACAGAGGATTCTTAACCTTCCAGCAGCAGCCGTTACCAACTTGGCAAGCACAGCCACGGAGCTGAACTCGGAGGGCAGGGCGGGGAGTGCTTTGCTTTCTCCGGGGTAACAGAGATTTCCTGTTTTAGGAGGCAACTTCTCTCCATTTGTCGTCTCAAGACAATACCAACCCTCCAGTGCATCTCCAAAGCCAAGCCTTTCATTCCGGGCCTCGCATTTATACAGAGTTGATTAAACATCAATGAATGATGAAAACAAACCCTCAATGTGTTTTAATAAGCGTGTGTATGAATCCATAGAAAACAATAGACAGCTGATGCTTTGTGATGAATTCCCCCTGATAACAACGCACAATAGCTGCTTTGCGATGGCGTTACATTTAGACGGGATGTCTGGGCATTAAATTGGGACCATGGAAGATAGCCTATAGCAAGTTAATTAGATACTAATTAGGCCCTAAAATACTAATCAAAAATACTAAGTGGCATTTAATAAGTATGTTAAATATTCTGCTTATTTTGGTTATCTTGTTCGGTGGCAATTAAATTCCTGAACTTCTTTGGAGTAGATTAAGAAACAAGTATTATATTGTAATTCAATGTAATTAATGTAAATTTGAATTAATTATGATTTGGAATTAATTACAGAAGCATCAGAGGCTGAGCTCCTGGGCAAGTGTTAAAACTTAGTCAATATAATTTTAATAGGCGTCACTCAATTAGCATACCAGCTTTTGGGGGGTATTTGCATGCAAAGGGGAGCCATTGTTATTAAGGATCTGGGAAGCCGACAATGGAAAGAGATACAAAAAGTTTGAAGACCTGAGTGTGAATTGAGGACTTAAGCTGCTGATTCTGCTCACATCGCCAGCGCGCCTTCCTGGAAGAGCATCGTTCTTGGGGAAACTGAGTCATAAATGCCCCCCTTTTCACTAATGAATCCAACGTAAGCAGGAGCTGGAAGGAGGGACAGACCCTGGGTGTGTCTTTGGAAATGTCGTTTGCCCCAGCTTTGCTTAGGTTTGTTAGGGTATGCCGCCATTTTTAAATCCCCGCTGGTTCGAACCCCGTGCAGCGCGGCTACACGCGGCATGAACTAGGTAGTTCGGATTAGGCTTCCTAGTTCGAACTACCGTTACTCCTCGTGGAGAGGAGGAGGAGGTGGAGAGGGGAGGGCAGGACTGTGAGTCAGCAGCTGACATGCCCTCCTGGGTGCTTAGGTTTGTTAGGGTATGCCGCCATTTTTAAATCCCCGCTGGTTCGAACCCCGTGCAGCGCGGCTACACGCGGCATGAACTAGGTAGTTCGGATTAGGCTTCCTAGTTCGAACTACCGTTACTCCTCGTGGAGAGGAGGAGGAGGTGGAGAGGGGAGGGCAGGACTGTGAGTCAGCAGCTGACATGCCCTCCTGGGTCCTCCCCGCCGTCTCAACGGGCTCCGTACGGAGTCTCTTTTATTATTTTAAATTGACTCCCGTGGCTGCTGGGGTTTCTTGGGGCCGGACTGTGCCTCAGGCCAACCAAAGCCAAATCCACCACAAGCAGGTGGCAGGAAGGAGCAAGTGGCTGGTGGAGAGAGGTGAGGAGAGGCCACACTCGGGGTGGGAGGTGGATTCTGCAGCTGCACCGCAGCGACTGGCAGTGGGGTGCAGGGAAGGGCTGGGCCCATGAAGGAGATATTGCCATGGCAACCTCCATGGGGTGGGCCAGTTCCTTAGGGTTTTGGTTATGAGCCCTGGTTGTGGTGTTTGCCCATATTCATGCCATGTCACCCCCCCCCTTTCCTTTTATTAAACGTTTCTTTCCTACGCTCAGCCTCTGTGTGCCCGGGGAGGGGGGGTGAATTTCCCAGGTTACTGGGCGGGGGCTGGAGCCAGCTCTGTGTGGGATAGATGGAGACGAACCCCTGGATATCGAACCCGGCCCTGGCTGCTGGGTAACACCACCCAACCGCAGTTCAGAGCCAAGCTGGAGGAGGGTCTCCCAGTGCAGCGCTGAGTGTGAGCAACACACGGGCAGTGTGTCCTGCCTGCCCATGGCTGGCTCACATGGAGGATAACAACCTCCTACTGCTGCCAGCTCGTGGGGTTACTCTGTTGGCTCACTGGGGAGCGTGGTGCCGGAGGTTCAGACCCGAGCTAGGGCCCGTGGCATGAGGGATGCTGTTACGCTCTCTCGCCAGAGCGGGTGAGGAAATGAGACACGGGCCGGCTGCGGGAGAAGAAAGGACTGTAATGGCTGGCGCCCCCCCCCGGAGGCCCGCCTGCCTGTGCCCATCTTGCCCGCGCACCAGGAGGTCGGGATGCGCAAGCAGCAGCTGCCCTCGTTTTGCTACCTGGGCCTGTGAGCAGCCCGTCCCGAGGTGCGTGGGACGCAGCCACCCGCAGGCTGAGCTCCGGGGCTGGCTCCATGCGGGGACTATAAACCTGCCCCTCCTGTGCAGGCTGCAGCCCCCCCCCCGGGGCTGCCGCAGCCCCCAGCGGCTCCATGCCCGGGGCAGTCAGACTCTGGGAGCAGGCGGTCGAGGCCAGCAGCGGGCTGGGAGCCAGGACGCCTGGGCGCTCTCCCCAGCTCTGAGGGGGAAGTGGGATGAAAGCAGGAGAGTGAGGGAGCTGGGACCCCTGGCAGCTCCCCCCCGCCCTGGCCTGCTCCGATTCCCCACCTCGGTACCTCAGTTTCCCTCCCCGGATAAGCACCTTGTATCCCTGGTTGATGCCATTGATGAACTGCGGGCTGGGCGGGTTCCAGGTGAAGCGGATGGTGGTGGCGTTGGTGGCTTCGGCCTGCACGTTGCCCGGGGGCACGGTGGGAACTGCAGGAGACAAAGGGAGGCTCAGCACGGGGGGGGGTCTGGG